AATGAAACTGTAAAATAATCTGGAATGTCCTTTTATAGTAACATATGGAAAGCCATGATTTGAAAGGCAGTCTTCTTTCCTGCTCTTCGACTCTTCACAGTCCAATTCTCTGAGCAGCTTCTCTACATGATAGAGTGGGCTGCCTAGTCTGCATCTCCCTCGGCCCCTTATGTTTTCTGTCCCTCTAGAATACAAGGCCTTGCTGATTTTTGCCACTGTCTCCTTGTACTCAGCACAGATCTACTGAGTGGGGCACATGATGAATGACTATATAGCACAGTTAAAACCACATTATGGATCAATATGGATAAATTGTATTAATTTTAATGTATGAGATAGGCCAATCAGGCATCAGCCATATACTTTATTAGCATATATTAGTGGTTCAAGGGGGTTTCACGGTGACAATGTATCCCAATCAAACACCCCCATCACTCCCCTCCTTCTCCTTCCCGCTTCTTAGAACAATTTCAACAGGTTTCACTGTTTAATATTCACACATGCAAATAAAACACTGACTATATTTATCCCCATTCACCCTTTTCAGCAGCCCTCATCCTTCTTGCTTTTTTTAAAAGAACACTTTTAAGTTCTAGGTAAATTTTTGTGAGAGAAAAGTAGGAATGAGTGTTACAAAGCCTGTTAACAATGTTTCAAGAACTTTTAAAAAGGATTTTCATACTAATAAAAATGTCTTTCACATCAGAAGCAAAGAATAGATAGGGTAAGGATGTTAGTACGCTTCTGTTCAATCTTTCAGCAGGTGACACAGAAAATCACTTCCGCTATACAATGAGAATAAACACAGAATCAGAGATATGGAGAAATCTATTTTGTTTGGTAAATCCCACTTTGAAGCTTCCTGTCTTTTGAAGATCAAGAAGCACTTGTATTTTTAGTTGATACAAAAACTGAAACTATCTGCCCCTATTTCTCAACAATGTCTCTATTATGCCCAGTATCATGCTTTAGGAGAGTGGTAAAGGCTGGTAATTAACAGCATTGTTTTGGTCTGAGACTAGGACTTGAACTCAGTACTTGATGCTTTTGCACACGGGCTAGTGCCCTACTAACTGAGCCATGCCTCCAATCTCATTTGAAAACATTTTAAAGCTATGATATATAAAATACCAAGAAGCCCAGATCATCACTGGTCCGGAAGCATGACCTTGAAAGAGGGAAAAATTGATGGACTAAGGTCTTTATTCACCAAATAACAGGTTAGGATATTTTCCTGGCTAAATCCAGGGCACTGACAGGCTATCTTCACTGTGTCAAAAACACACCTGTCCAACTGTTAAAATTAGTAAAAAGGTTTCATCTAATTCTTCTAAAATCCAGACTATTTACTATTTTCTCCAGCAGTGTGCAAACTCTCTGCCAATAAATTCCAAGTGTCAAGTAAGTCTAATAAAAGGCTACAAAGAAACTTTAAAACTGACATTTAAAAATAGGCTTTAAAATTGAACAAACAGAAAAGACCACTATAGTTAAATACATGAACATTAACAGGAAAAGATGCCTGCAATGAACAGAAATAGTTATGACTTGATGGAATAATTACAAACAATCCAAGTCAGAATTTTAGATCAGTTACGATGATGCAATGATATTCTATCCTAAAAAGAAAAAAAAACCTTAAAACTATGTAGGTTTCTATTGACAAAGCTATTTACTTGAAGAAAAATCTTTGTTCAAGCATCTACTACTTTCTGATTTTTTACAAAGTAAAACTGAGGATCAAGTATTAGAGGGAATGACAACAAAGTATTTAAATGTTAGGACTATCACTAAGCACACAACTTTATTTAAGAAGGAAATAATACAAACTCTACATTTGTAGTCATTATTAAATGAAGAACTGGAAAAAAGCTGAGAGAAGTAGGATTGTGGACAAGTGCACTGTTAGCCTATCAAAGGCTTTCTGAAATGTCCTTCTAGCGTAACTCATCTCTAATGGATGCACAGTATAAGAATGACTGCCTCAGGCTGGGAAGGTGGCTCAGTGGTAGAGCGCTTGCCTTACATGCCTGAGGCCTTGGGTTCGATTCATTAGCATCACATAAGCAAAAAAAAAAAAAAAAGCCGGAAGTGGCACTGTGGCTCAAGTGGTAGAGCGCTAGCCTTGAGCTGAAGAGCTGAGGGACAGCGCCCAGGCCCAGAGTTCAGGCCCCACGATGGGACACCCCCCCCCCCAAAAAAAGAATGACTGCCTTTACATGGCGCGCGCGCGCACACACACACGTAGCTTAATTTCAAGTGGTATTTCTCACTTAAATTGAATAACAGCAAAGAAAATGGGGTTTTGCCCTCCATCAGGAAAAAAGCAACTTGATAAGAGGTCTGAGGACTCCTACTGTGTCCTGAATTCGGGGCATAATGGACACCTCCTTGCAAACACTGAGCAGGGCTTTGTGGTGAAGTTTAGGAAGCACACAGTAAGTAGCTTTAACCTGGCATCTCTTCCCACCAAGTTCATGACTAAGTTTTTATGTCAACAGGGGACAAGCATTAAATATAGCCAACTGGGAGCACCAACTAATTTTTATTTTTCAAAATACTTGTATTACCCTTATGACAAAGAGAGTTTTCCTCTTTTCAAAAATCACTCTCCAAAAGAAGTCCATTCCACAGTACAAAGTTAAAACCCATCAAATATACCATGCTTCTACCATATTAATCTTAAATATCTTTGCCAAACCGGAAATCCTTTCATTTTATGAGACCAGACTCAATAAAGCAATTGGAAGAGCCTCTTAGTTTAAAAAGCTTTCTGGATTAAAAAAAAAAAAAGAACAGTAATTTATGTAAATGTATCAATCTCAATTGGCTTTCCTAGCATGAAAAGGAATAAATAACGCAGATCACTGTTTTTTGGATAATGAGACCTAAGTCTTTGCCAAGGATATGGCAGAAGACTTTGATGAAAATGGCAGGATGTGTACACAAAGGTGACCATAAGTGTGTGTATGATAAATGTGGACACTAGGGATGGACATAGATAAACAGGTAGAAGATTGGACATAGATGATTGGAGACAGAAGGAAAGACACTGGCTCAGCTGTATCTCAGTAAGTTAATAGGTATTTCATGATATTAAAAAAAAATCAGTGACAGCAGAATTTCTATTAAGAAGGTTAAAAAAAAGTTCCATCTCTTTCTTGGACAATTCAAAATGCAATTGTTGTTAGAATATAAATAAATACATTACAAAATACACTATTGTCTAGAATCTAGATTCTAAAAGAGAATGTGTGCTTATTAAATGTCTTTGAGTATTGAAGCAATTTAAAAACTATTAGATTGGCACCTGGAACCCCAAAACATGTACTTTCCCCTGGGAAGGAGAAGCTATGCCTCTTCAATCATCCCCTAAATGCAAAGAGGTTTGACCCCCATGCAATAGATAAAAGTCACCCAAAAAATGAACAAAAGAGGTGTTTGGAAAAACCAGAACACCATTCATCCCAGCTAACGACTTGTTCATTATGAGTGATGATGGATAAAGACTTCTCATGCTGAGATGAAATCAAGATTTATATGCATTGTTTCCTCTCCCAACTTGTGGGAAGATCATCATCATTTAATTCTATCTCTGCGGCCAGTGATGGGCATCCAGAGAGCTGGTTATCAAACGGCGCAGTCAGCTGGCAAAAGCCGAAACGTGCAGTTGGCACATCTGGACGGAGCCGCCACAGCCGAGGGTGAACAATGACTCCTGGCAAGCATCCAAATTGCTTGCAGACGCTAGCAGGTCTCATCTACAACGGCCCCTACCAGCATCTCTCTCTCTCTCTTTTTTATGAGAATCAGATTTTCATTGCTCCATTCAATTGCTCTCCTCTGCCATTTTTTACAGCTCTTATCGTTCCCCTGGAATCCGGCCTTGAGACAGCTCATCCGTGTCCTTCACTGTGTTATCTCTTCTAACTTTTATTAAAACTTCAGCTTTCATCTGAAGATAGCTAATTAAATCTGGAACAGATTATATGCCGCCCCTTAAAAAGAGCCCAGAACTATTTTCTTTGACCTGAGCAATGCTTTTTCTCTCTTCTAAGAGGTAAAATCAAAGGTGTTTAAGAAGTCTATTTACAAAGCAGAGGTATTTGCCATGTCACTTACAGTTGATTTATATTAAAATAGTCTGTAGTATGACAAATCTTTGAGCTATTTCTCAAAATAATTATTTCCCAATACTGATCACATATTTGTCCTATAGCCTTTTTTTGTCCAATAGCCTTTAAATATTATGTTTAATACAATAAACATTATTTTTAAACATAAAGTTGGGTAATGAGGAGCTGGAGATTAACAGCAATTTGTGCACATCAAGTGATTTATCTTTGTAAAATAATGTTTTAAAAGTTACTCTCATTTGGTGAAAAATAAAGATAATTTTTCCTTCTTTCTTCCCCTAAACACTAGTAAATAAAAAGTCACATGGAAAACTACATGAAAATATGAAATTAAAAGCAGCGACTTAAGATTTATTCTTTGTTTGTTTGTTTTTTAATATTTTGTGGTGCCAGAGATCAAACTGAGAGCCATGTGCATCCTCTCTCACTAAGCTACATCTCTAGCTCCTTGATTTGGATCTTAAGACATCTTTTCATTAACTAATGGTTAGCACAAGTAGCTCTGTCTCAATTTACCACAAATTACTAATGATGGAATGTTCATAACTGAAACGAACACATTCTTCTTACATGTATCACGGGCCCAGTCCTTTCCTAGGGCCCAGAGAAAGTTTAAAATCACTTCTTTATTTTTATTTTTAAACTAGAGACCTGTTAACCAACCTTCTACCAACAATAACTGAAACAACTTAGCCCATTATCAAACACATACATATATACACATGAACAGCTGCCCCCATAAACACACAAACACACACACACACACACACACACACGCACGCACGCACGCACGCACGCATGCAGACACACTAAGTCCTTATAAGAGTTAAGCTTCATAGCCAGGGTATGATTTAATTATCCCACCTGAAATTTTCTGGGACCCTTTTCTTCGCTTCACTGCCTTTAGCAAGATTTCCTTCATGGTGACCTTTGTGTTGTCCACCTGAATAAGGGAGAATCCATGAGCAGCATTTCTGCAGAAAAAGACAAATATTAAATCATCACCATCATCCACCCAGAGAGATGTTATTACAATCTTCACTGTGTTTCAGAAAGTTTTAAAATAAGTGTTCATCAAAGTGCTACTTATCTAAGGATAGGTTGAATAAATCTACTTCGAATGTTTGTGTGCATGAGGGGGGAGGGGTGCATGCTATTACATTCAGTTCCAACTGAAAAAGAGACTGGGGTTAGAACAGGTTTTTCTAATTTATCTCAAGTTGAGTGTAACTGCTCTGTGTGGGTCAGTAGTATCATGGGTGCCTAGTGCTGGCTCCCAAGACATGCTGGAAGGATTGACAATTGATAAAGTTGGCTTGTGTCCGTAGATGTCACTACAGGCAGATACAACCATCCTAATATGCTCATGATGCTCCAGAAGAAAAATGTCATGGAGGGCGGGGAAAGGATATTCCAAAAATAATTCAAAAGGAGGAAAAGTAAAGCTCTTCCTAACTGGCTAGTATAGTATCCATCCATCCATCCATCCATCCATCCATCCATCCATCCACTTCAGTAGGACAGATTTCATTACTTTATTCCTAGAAAGCCAACAAAATACTAGATGAACCACAAGTGATTATAAAAAGAACCACTATTTTGTACAACTAAAGATAATAAAAAAATTATAAAAACACATAATTTCCAAGAAAAGAAAATGAAGAGGAAGAGAGGAGGAAGGAGGAGGAGAAGGAAAATCACTAATGGTACTCAAACTTCTGGTTAAATTGGGTTGGGGAAGGCTTTATCTAGATAAGAAAATTTAGCTAATGTGGAAGTATGCTAAAAACAGCAGCCCATCTCCTGGGTAAGGTATAACTTCATCAAGACTGTTAATTGCAATAGCAAGTATCACAAATCCTACCCACTATGCTTGGGCACTGGAACAAAACAGGCCAATTCCAAGTAGACTCATGTAACAAACAAGACCCAAGTTTCCAACTATGGAACAAGGGAATTGCTACAAGGAGTTTGGTCACATTCCCATTTCTCTGTAAGAATCTCAAAGGGGAACATGGCCAAAAAACATGGCAGAACTTCATACTGACAAGAAATCTGAAAGAAAAGCCAAACCCCAAGCTAAGCCTTGGGAAAGCTTCCCAATGGTACGACAGGCTGTGAGGGAGCCTGAAGCCTAGGCTGGACCAAACCAGGTGGCTAGCTCTCCACAGGGGACAGGGGCCCGATCTCAAAACTGAGGACCTAATTTGCTTCCCTAATACAGAGACATCTCCACACTCCCCTTCTCCATACGGCTTGCTATTTAATCCTTGACATTCCATTTGTTAAAAAGCAAAAGCTGAGGCTGGTCTAGCCAGCAGGATCATCCATTTTAACTTGGTCAAGTTCTTGCTATCGAACAGCAGGCCTGAGGACTGTCAGGCTAATTTTACTGAACACTCTGTTACTGAATCATGCCTGAGCCCTGGCCATTCTTTACCTCAAAAGCTGGACCCCATCCCAGAACAATCTTTAAAAGTTTATTTTACTGATCAAAGCAAAATAAGAAACAGCTCTTTTAAAAACACACACACACACACAAAACTATATTTAGGGAAGGAGGCAGTAAGTGATACTTTGGCAAGAGTGCTGCAATGTAAAGTGCTTTGTGCATTTAAAAACTTGGAGGTATTTGCTCTGGCACTGGGCCAGTATGTGTTTGGAACAAATGCCAATCAACCTCGCTCAGATTTGCCTTCCCCTGCTTTCTCCTCAGAAGTCAGTATGGGCTCCATCTGTGACAATATGTTGGGCGATGGATGAGTAGGGCTGAAAGGCAACACAAGTTCTTGGGTTCTCACAAACTAGCACTGGCCTGGATCTCATAAACTCCCATCCACCTGGGTTCTACCTGAACTTCTGTAGATCTGAGTCTACTTACAAATTGTTTATTTTCTCTCCTGACCTGTGGCTGGCTGACAATGTTATGCCAAGCCAATAAATATGTTCATCTTCTTTGGCAAAGGGAGACTTAAAAACTCAAAAGGAAGCCTTGTGTTTGCACTAACTTTCATAAATTAAAAGTGTCCTTTTAAAGGATCTTTTTTTTTTTCCTTGAGCAGAAGAAAATCCCCCAGTCTGTATTTTTCTGTCATTTTACCAAAATGTACCTGGGTGACAAGGTTAAAGCAAGCAGAGGAAATCCCTGGCACTTATCATCCACAGGCATTACTGATAAATTGCGTGGTGGAGGAATAAAGGATTACCTTCTGTATTTTTTCATTACACTTTTCTTTTGTTACAGAATACATAAATCCATTGTGGCACAATGTAATATGTATCACCATGCTACACCTGCGGACGCTTCCGAGCGGCTGCCATGTCTGTGCAGTCAGGAATGATAAGTGAACCACCCGTGAATGTTAACGATAGTGATCATTCTGAGGTAACTCGGCTCTCCATCTTCCTTTACAGCCTCTGCGCTGAAGCCAGGGTAGCAAGGTTCACGAAAGGAAAATGAAAACAGTGGCAAAGGGAAGGGGCGCGCCCCGCGGCCCTTGGGGTGCCTTCACCCCAGCTCGGCTCCTGCAAGAACCGGGGCATTCAAAGGAGAATGGGGGGCTGTCCCAGGACCACGAACCTGACTAGCTCTGATGGTCGCATCCTCGGGCCAGGCCCACACTCCACTCCTTCCCCCAGACAGATGCCACCTCTGTGTCTTTCTCCAAGTCCACAGCACTACGGGGGAGGGAGGTTCAGGGGCCAGCATTTTGGTTTCTGAGTGACCTACATACATGACTCTAAAGCATAAGGATACAAAATAGAAGTGGTTCTCAGTGCCTACCTAGGTGCAACTGTTAACTCATGGTCCTGTTTAATACATGGAAGTGGAGACTTGCTACTACAATTTTCAGCTTGACTTCCAAGCATTGGGGGTTTTATGCCTCATTTCTTTACATCCAGGGTTATTTTATGGGCTTTCTAGAAAGTCTATTGAAATACATCTTTGAAAGCCACTCTTATCCATGGAGGGCATTGGATCTGAGAAAGAGAAGACAATGGCTCTTAGTCCTGCTTCCCTTCTTCTGGGTTGTGACCTGTGCAGGGGATGATCGCAGACCTGCAGGTGGGTCACACTTGGACCAGGGATCTTGGCTCCCCTTGTGGACAGGCATCTTGCTTCCAGGGCGCAGGGCATTCTGGGAGCACCAAGCAGAGATAGCTGCCTTGCCACAGTTCATGGGGTTCACTTTTGGGGGCTGACTGAACGCTGCCAGGACTGCTTTAGTCAATTCAAAGCTAGGTCCTGTCAAGGCTGGAAACCACTGAAAAATGTACAGGCATTTTAAGGAGAGATTACTCACCTGAGGCATTCAGCTCTGTGCCAGGCAAAGCCGCTCAGTTACTATATTAGGCCACTACAATGAGCGCTTTTCTTCTAAGTAGTAAACCAAAGGTGACAAGGGCACACAGGAAATGGGTACCAAAAACCATAGATTTTCTGTACAGGGGCAGAGACAGAGTCAGAAGCAAACAGGAGGGCAGCATACTGGAGAACACATGGTCTAGCAGTTAAATATATCTTTTTGGTTGAAATCCTGGTTTCATGGCTAACCAAAATGCTCTCCCTTACCATGAGAGAAACTTAGCTGTGCCTGTCTCTCTTCATACTATCATGAGGGTAAAATATGTGATGAATGCCAAGCCCCTGGCACTAAGACTGGCAAATAGTGAAAGGGGTTTCCTAAAATTGATTCTCTTTGTTCCCTGTGACCCATGTCATACCCCAAGAGGCTCCGCAGCCCCTCTATGTCCCAGCTCTATAGAAGCATTGTCTACTTGTGCGATGGCTGACAACACTCACTGCACTAAGTGACTGGCAACCCTGAGGCAGGACCACATATTTTCTGCTGGCTTAGTGGTTCTATCCAGGGGGCACTGTCAACAAGCAGGCCCTGGCCTGGGCATCAAAACCTCTGAAGCTCAAAGGAGGGTCCTGTGGCCTCACTTTTCAAAGCTTTCCCTTTGAAAGCAAACCATAGAACTAAGTATGCTCTACCTTGGCCTGACTCTGACTTTGGATAGGAATGATGAAAGTCAAAAATCACACTGGTAGCTGGGCATGAGTGGCTCACATCTGTAATCCTAGCTACCCAGGAAGCTGAGATCTAGATATCATGGTTTGAAGCTAGCCTGGGCAGAGAGGTCTGTAAGACTCTTATCTCTGGAAGTGGTGCTGTAGCTCAAGTGGTAGAGTGCTTGCCTTGAGCTGAAGAGCTGAGGGACAGTGCCCAAGCCCAGAGTTCAAGCCCCATGACCGTCCAAAAAAAACAACAACAACTAATCTCTAACCAGCAAAAAGCTATGGTTCAAGCGGTAGAGTGTCAGCCTTGAGTGAAAAAGCTGTGGGACAGCACCAAGGTCCCATGTTCAAGCCCCGGTATCGGCACAAAAGGAAAGAAAGAAAGAAAGAAAGAAAGAGAGAGAGAGAGAAAGAAAGGAGGGAGGGAGGGAGAGAGAGAAAGGAAGGAAAGAAAGAAAGAGGAAAGGAAAGAAAGAAAGAAAAAAGAAAGGGGAAAAGAGAAGAAAAATCACAGTATTTCAGAGAAATTTGTTAAGATTTAGCCAGAGCTTTTGAATTTGTACATTGCATGTTGTTCACTGTTTAACAATTATAAAAGTAATAGGAACTATTATTACCAGCCACTTACTATGTGCCCAGTGCTGGCTTAAGCTTAAATAGCATCTATGTTAATTTGTTCAATCCTAAAATTGGTACTATTATCATTCCATTTTGTAGCAATAGAGACGGTTGGCATCAGGGAATTTACCTGAGATTTACTGGATACATACTTTTGGATTCAGAAATCAGCAATATGGTCCCTAAACCTACACAGCAAAATCTAGTGAGGGAGAAAGGCAAAGAAGACAACAAACACTGATAGTTGCCTATGACAAACACACAAAAGGGGCAAGGTGTGACTGAGACACCGGGACACCTAACCCAGCCAAATTCTGACAAATCAGAGAAGCT